AAGACATCCATAGCAATTAATAATAAAAGGAGTTGGCAATCGAGCTCGGAAAACTGGCATGGTTTTAGGAGGCTGGCAGGTCGAGGTTGAGACGTCAGACATGACTGCAATAGACTGTTGAGATGATCATTAAGCGAGACTTAGATCGGATGGCAGAAGATCTGGGGCATCCAGGTAACGTTGATGTGCATTTCGGCTCTTAAAGACGTGTTAACATGGCCGGGGCTGAGTCGCCGAGCTGTCACTGCGGACAGGCTCACTCGAGGGCTGCTTGATTCTCGCTTGCTCTTCGCTTTTCGGATTTTAACGGTTTTATTTGCGGTGCGGCGGGCACAGCGCCGTGTTGCGCAAACAGGGTTTAACAAGACTGAATTGATTCATGTACGGCGCGATAACGACCAATTTCAAGATCAAAGCTTCGGGTTTTTTTTTTTAAATCTCTCCCCCACCCAAGCCCGTTTTGTTTGTGTTTTTGTTGTCCACCCCCCCCTCCCCCCGGTCGTGTCAGAGCGGTAACGGGACGATGCCGTTGATGTTTCGGGAGGTAAGTGCCGGATTTCTCTTGCTTTTCTGCTCCGCGCTCGTGTCGCGTGGAGGGAGCGCGATCAGGTTTCCGAGCCTGGCTCGCGGCGGTCCTCGCACGCGCGGCGACTGGGTCTCGGGCGCTGGATGCTGCGGTCGTCTCGCTCTGGGATCTCAGCCCCGTGCCCTCGCCCGCCGCGAGCCCGTCCCGGCAGCCCTCCGCCGACACGCCGCGAGCGGACGTGGCGAGCACCGCCTGGACGCGATATAGCCTTGACAAGCTTTCATCTCCCCCTGGACACCACTCCGGCAGCTTCTGCCGCTTCGCTGTGCGGATGTGAGCTCTGTCAGGACAAGCGCTTTCCGTGTGTTTGCAGGAGCATGAGCCACCGAGAGACGCTTGAACCCAGAGCCGCGGAGACTAGTCTTGAGCCGCCATCTGAGGCTGCAGTTGTCATGTAGCTGTCCAGCCGCCCGGTGCAGGCCGAGAGCCGGCGCCTGTCCCTGCAGAACCACCCAGATCCCAGATCCAGGTGCTTCCCAGGCTCCAACGAGCCTGCCAGTCTGCCGCGGCTGGATCCGGGTTGTCTAAAATACTGACAGGCCGCCACAGCTCCTCAGCAACGGCGAGGAGACGGAAAACCCCTTTCATCCACCAGAAAATCAAAACTGCGAATTTCACTGACCCAGCAAGCCGAAGAGGCGGAAAAGGTCTCTCGATTGAGCATGAGTGGCGTTTAGTGCCTGGTGACAAACACGAGAGTTTCAGACAGCAGCATGGCTGTAAAGACACAAATCTGTGGCCGGCGGATTTGTTAGAAACCCGTGAACATCAGGCGGCTTTGAACTGCGGGCGAGGCGTTGAGCTCCTCTCAGCTCTCGGCTCCCTGGCAGTAGTGACGCAGCTGCAGTCGTGTGAGAAAGGTGCTCACGCTCCTGCTGAAATGGCCAGGTCGCCCACCCTGCTCCCTCACCGTCCCAGGGACGCCAGCCGGGGCCGGGTGTGAAACGCGCTTCAGGCCGCTCGGGTGACGCGGGTTTACGGTCGGGAACACAAGAAAAAAAAGACCTTGCCGCCCACGGTTTAAAAACTAAAACTGAACTTTTAAAAAACTGACATCTTGGTGCAGGATTGTCACGCAGAGACGGAGCTTTAAATCACCAGTTTGAGCTCTTGTTTGCAATAGGAGCGCTGTGAATCTAGGG